TGTGTTATGTCGTTCACCCTAGTATATATATATATATATATATATATATGTTTCTGAAATTAGAAATTGCTATAGCCAATTTGCAACAATGACATCCAGATGTCATTCTCCCGAAGAACTCTCAAGGGAGTTTATTGGAGGATTAGAGGCAGGAAAAAGTAAGATAGAAGTGGCTAGATGGATAAATGGATGAGTCCTTCAAAGGTTCATAGACTCTGGCAATAATTTCTAACCACAGGTTCGGCATCCAAAAAGTTCAGTTAAGAATGGTCAAATGCTACGTCGTCCGCCGATATCTGATATTTATCGTTATATGCCACGGCAAAATAGAACAGCAAGTCTGCTCAGATACTCTCTTAGTGCAATCATCGGAGGATTGGTGTCAACGTTTACTGTGTATAGAAAGTTTCACGGATGCTGGTTGTTCTCTAGGTGATCAGCCATTTGAGTATCTCTCTTGTCACGCCATAGAAGGAAACGTTTGAGGCTTGAGCAGCAACATGTCCATTTAATAGCTGACCAATGGGTGGAGACTGTTCTATTCGCAGATGAGTACAAGTTTAGCTTCCGAAGCATTGGTAGAAGTTGTTTAATTTGAAGATAACCAGCAACCGTATATCATCCACCAAATATCTGTGAATTAGATGCATACGAAGGAGGTACTGTCATACCAAGGAAGCCAATGAGATAGTGTGGCGTGTTGACTTTTTGAGTGGTTACACAGGCCTGTATGTCTTTCCACGTGGAATATACTCACCATGCTCAAGTGCATAGAGATGTCATCCTTCGTGTTTGTGTTCTCACTATGGTGATGCAATAGGCGATAATTTCATTCTACAGGACGATAACATAACACAGCAGAGGGCTCGTATCATGGATGATTATCGTCAGCCACAAACGATTCAGAGCATGGCGAGACCAGCTCGATCACCGAACTTGAATACTACCTGACATGTTTGGGATGCTTCAGAAAGACGTATAGCTGGTCTAACTTCTCATTTTTAGCCCCTTGCACAGCTTGCAACTGATTTACTAGAGCAATGGCTTGTACTTTTAAAGAAGCTGGAAGATCGCATAATTGAAAGCATCACCAATCACTGTATATGCTGTATTGTTTCTAGAGGTTCATGGTATTTTTCATGGTTCATGGTACTGAAGGTAATTTTCCATTCCAAACTGGCACAATTTAATTTATTCATTTTCCAACACATGATAATTTATGTCATACCCTAATTGTCCGGTTAATAGTTTTTATGTTATTTCATGCATTTTTATGTGTATTATAATGTATGCCAATTTCATTAAATTCCATGAGTAACTTTTTGAGGTATGGTCATTTATGTGAATTTTCCTGATGTTATCCATAGTCTCGTGTAATATGTAAAAATTAAAAAAGTAAAATAAAGACAATAGTAATATTCAAAAATAATTATAGCGCTATTGGCCATTAAATCAAATGCAACTCATCAATGTTCAAAAAATGTTCGAAAGAATCAAATGGAAGATAAACATCCAACTACAATGAAAACGGCAATAGAAAAATAAACAGATTTAAAGGACTCTAACATCTATTCTATAATTATTCTTAAATCGAACGGTGTGCATGGCTCTATAAAATATGTTTCTTTTAACATACAAAATAAAATAAAAAAATTTGTGAGTAAGAAAAGATAAAACTTAAAAAAACTTTTCGTCTTGATTTTAAACTGTTTTTCTCACGCAAGACATTTTTTTTTAATTTCCAGCGTCTTTCTTTTAAACTTTTTTCATTCTAACAGTTTGCAGTGAACTCTTTTCAAATGAAAGACTACTTAAAAAAATTTCTCAAAAATCTTCATATAAAACACGAGATAAAAATCTACAACAGAACAAAACATTTTTGCTTTCAACTCTAAATTAGGTTTGTTTTTATGTAACTTCTATTTACCACTTCATTTCAGAGAAAAAGAAATTACACATGTTACTTTGCGTGCAAGTTCAACACCAACTTTTACGAAGCAACCTAAAGCAAAGTTACAACTCTACTAATAGACCATTAAACACAAAACTCAACGGGTACCAAAAAATAAAAATAAAACAACCACTATTACATAAAAATCATAAGAGGGCCTATTAAAAGTTAAACAATCACGCAGACGACAATCTCGCGCAAGGTTGCATGGAAGAATCTCTTTTAGCTTTTTAAAAAGTTCCATTTCTTGCAAATATCATTAACGAGCTCGCACGCGTTGCATTGTGGGCGTAAATATAGCTGGGTAAGATACATTATTCATGTTTACTTAAAGTAACATCCATTTTTTTATAGCATTCTCAATTTGTGTTGAATTAATGGGAAAAAGGATTCATCATAAACTAA